CAATCTCTGTCTCCTAAATTAATTTTGCATAAATTCTTATATTAGGGCAGGCAGTAAGCACTTTTAGGAGATCTGTCATTTTTATTTCATTTAGTTAGATAAATTAAAATTTTTTATTATTGTCTCATTGTCTTATATGACATGGATTGCATCAACATATGATATGAGTTATCAGTTATACCATATGTTTGTTATGTTTATTCTAAGTTTTCTCTATATGGTATACAATGCACACCAAATGTATTTACAATTTATTCAAAGTTTTCTTTTCACTGACATAATTAGCACAAAATTTATTTATATTTTTTTTTCCACACCTTACATGTTGCAGACAAAATTCATTTTTAAAGCTTTCTCCTCATCAAGATCTATCCATCAATCAATCTTCGTTTTGCATCCAGAGACCCGGTTTCAGTGCTGCATTCTGCTCATGGAAAATTTTATGGTCATCAACAGACTTTGATTTTTGCCATTGCTTGTATGCAACTTTCTTTTCAGCTATTGCATTTTGTACACTGTCATTCCACCACCAAGTGTCACGTTCATGCTGACGTTTTGTATCGGTTTTCCCCACAAACTGTAGTTGCAGCATTCATCAAAACGGTTTTGTATGTACTCCAATCTGTACTGACTTGCAATTGGTGGTCTAACTGTGTGGTGACAATCTGTTGAAATTTTTCTCGATGAATATTGCTTTTCAGTTCCACGTTTTGATTCTCCGAGGCATTTGTTTAGACTTATGTTTTGACAGTTCGACAACCAGGTCTGCCACAAGAAGTCTATGTTGGGCGACACATGATTCGCCAGGTATAGCTTTGACGTTTTTGAATAGCCTTCGGTGTTGTTGCTTGACAGCGAAGAAATCAATCAATCAATGTTCCAACCTCTTTCTAAAATATGTGTTCAGTAAACAAAACCCATGACTTTCAGCAAATTCAAAGATGCGGTTGCCATCTTCATTCCGTTTTCCATAGCCAAAACCGCCATGTACGTTGTCAAAACCATCTGTTTCTCTCCAACGTGGCCATTGAGATCACCTCCAATCAGGATTGTTCCGATTTTGGTATTGTTGAGATGGTGTCAGAGAATGCAGTCCAGAAGTCATTTTTCATCTCTTCTGATTCGCCTGTCTGTGGTGCGTATGCAGAAAAAATAATCATTGTTTGCTTTTCTATGCGAAGCTTGATCCACATGAGACGTGAATTAATCCTTTTAATATCCAGTACTTCTTGGGCTAGCGGTTCTCTGACAAAAATTCCAACACCATTTTTGGCCGTCTTTTGACCATTTCAGAATAGTTTTTTAATAATAATATTTTTCTTTTTCTGAGTTGACATGACAGACACCATTTGATTTCCATCAGGTTTCCTGAAGGCAGCAGATGTCAATCTTTCTACGCTCGAGCATTTCTGTGATTTCCATGTGAAATAAGCAGTGGGCCTAGCCTTTTGCTCAAAAGCACGCAAGGGAGCGTGGATACAGTTTTATGTCATGCCCAGGACCTGATTTGAAATAAAAAAAACAGCTACTATGGATAAATTAAAACCATAATTTCAAATCGTTTAAATTCAAATTGTACTCTTCTGAAAAAACGTGAATTATAACTGCATTATTGTTTTAATTTTCTGAATTTTGTGCAGTATGTAGAAAAAGTTCTAAATAAATTTGTGCTTGCAATGTGCATGATGCAAAAAAAAAGATTTTTTTTATTGAACTTATAATAATTTACAAATTTGATCAATCAAATATTAGAAAATATTGAGTAGCTATGATAACAGTTAGGAATTTAAATAAAACTGAGGATTTTATTTGGTAAAAAGAGTTGCACTGTTTTAATTTCAAATTGTTATTATAACTACTGTAATGTTATCTAGTTGATTTTTATAAGACTTAACATTTGTTTGGTGTGGCTCCTTAAATTTTTTGTCATTTGATAAAATATTTAGCTTAGTGCTTTCTATTCCAAATTTGAATTATTCATCATTGAGATCCTCAGCGTCGATCTATTTCGTTCAGTAAGATAATGTTTGATACTGTGCTATCAATTTCCAATTTTTTTATTTGGATTTCTTCAATTTGAACTTTTTATGTTCAAAACATAACATTTTTCAGTGAGTTCTTTAATCATCCAGTTAATGACCTTTATACATATTTGGTACACATTGTCTGCACTTCTCAGAGCTTCATTGCCTCACAGCTCATCTTTGTTAAATTCAACTCAATCTTGCTAAAAGTATACTTTCAGTAATGGCCTCAGATGATGCAAATTTTGTTCAAAACTTCAAGAATGTTAAAAAACGTTGAAGGCTCTACTTGATAATATTTTTTTTGCAAAAATTCATAGACACCAAGACGATGGATTCAAGATTGTAATACTTTTCAACAAGAAGCTGGTCTCAGTCATAATTTAAAATGTTGAAAGATCATGATTTTTAAGATTCTCTAAAGCCTACACAACTTCATCATAATATTTATATACAGCTTCGACCTTTTTCTAACTTGCAAAAAATATCAGTAAGGCTACAAGGTTTATGGCATCAGATGTCATTAAACACGTGAAAATAAAATAATTTCAATTCTTTTTTAAATACAGATAAAAGTTCAAATCTTTTCAACAATGTTGGTGGATTCCAAACAGACCAGCAACAGTAATATCATGTGCACCAAATCTTAACTGCCAATAAATTCATGTAATCTGTCCTGGGTGAAAAACATGGAGCAGTTACATTTTCAAAAATCTATCTGAGAGATATTTTGGTAGCATACCATAAATAATTTTCTTGTTAACTGTCGACCTCAGAGAATCTTTTTAACGATGAGTGGCTCCTTTTTATTTGCCAGTCACTAGTTTAACAGCTGGTGTGATTGAAGACTGTTATCGTATCACAGAGGTAGGCAAACTACGGCCCGCAAAGCTATTTTATGCGGCCTGCAATGCCTTGTTCGCCAAAAAAGGTAGTCAGCCAGACATTATGACCATAAAAAGGTAAAAAGGAGCCATAAATCATAAAAAAAATTTTCTTCAGGTCGAAAAAATTTTCTATTTAAGTACATATGCGGCTCTTCAAAGGTAAATAGTTCTCAATGCGGCCCTTCACAGCAAAACGTTAGCCCACCCTGGTCGTATCAAATAATTCGCAATACAAACTGTTACAGTAGTTCTGGTGCAATTTTATAAGTTTAGACACTTTTTTACTTTGCCACTCACAACTCTAGCAAACGACTTGTTCATTTCTTTTGTTTAATGGGTAATCTCATCACTAAATTTCAAATTATAATTTTCTAATATTTAAATCCTGCATGTTTCAGTTTATTATATGAAATATTCATAACTTTGGAAAAAGAACAATTTATTATTTATTCGTTTTTCTTATGAGTTTATTTATGTTTGGATATGAATTACACGTTTTTCAACAATATTGATTTTAGTCTACCAATTTTTATTCACTGATGATTTATCAAAGTTTCATTCAATTTAGTTGGAAATACTACTTTAATATATTATGTGGCACTTCACCCATCAATCAATCAATCTTCGTTTAGCGTCCAGAGACCCAGTTCTCCGAGGTAGGACGTTGTTTTCTTGCCATCAATTTTTTGCGCCAAATTAGACGATCAGTTGTATCCATTTCATTTAAATTTAGAGCTTTCATGTCTCGCTCGATTGTTTGCGACCAGGACTTCTTTGGACGGCCTTTGGGACGTGTGCCAGGTACTTCAACATCTGCAAGAGAAGTTATGGCACTGTTTCCACTTCGTTTGACATGACCAAACCACCGCAGACGGTGTTGTCGGCATTCGTCCTTTATATCATCTAAACCAGCACGACGCAGGATTTCGGTAGATTTGATGTGGTCTTTCAGACTAATTCGTTGCATCCGTCGGAGCATTTTCATGTCGATTCGTTGAAGTTGTTTTTCCAGTTTGGTTGTCATTGGCCATGTTTTTGCACCATATAACAACACCGTATTACATTATTACAGATTTATAGAATCTTGATCGTAGTGGTAGTGGGATGATGTCACGCCGCATCAATATAGAGGCAAGGAGATGCCATTTATTCGAACGGCAGTTTCAGCTGTTCAGCAATCTAGAACATTCCCTAGATATTGAAACGATGTGACGATGTGTTATTGTGGATTGATGCAAGCAGGACAAACAAAATTGGACACTTTAGATAAAGTACCAATTATTTTTGAACAACGTTTGTGACACCACTGGTTACACTGCTGACACTTGATTGAATTGTTACCTACACCAGCTTTACAAACTGAACAGGGCCATCGTCCAGTAGCTGTGGATTGGTTGGGTTCACCATTGTTCATTGCATTGGTTTTGCTGATGTTGACTTTGAATCTATGATCGGCGAGTCTGGTGTTCCAATCTTCAAACATCTGTGCTGCATTCTGCTCAGACGTGGCTGCTAAAACGATATCATCAGCGTATATTAGATTCCAAATATCACCAGTGCGTATCGGTTTTGTGATTTCTTCCATCACAGTTATAAATAACAGTGGACTGAGAATCAAGCCTTCGTGAACTCCAACGCCGATGTCAAATGCTTCTGTGTTTCCAACCGTTGTGCTAACGAGAGTCTTAGTATTCGTATACATTTCCATCACAAGTCGAACAAGATATTTTGGAATCAGTTGTTGACGTAGACTCCACCTGATTGCTTCACGGGGAACTCGATCAAATGCTTTTTCAAGGTCTACAAAAATGTGTTATAGTTGTTGATGCTTTCACACATCAGTGCAAAAATTAAATGCTAAGTCAGTAAATTTTTGAATCGTGAAGTTCACTGTGCTTCATAAGTCTCTTGGTCCAAAGCGGTTACCTTATTTATTTTTTTTTATTTATTGACCAAATTAAATGTCTTCTTAAATATACTTTAATTTATTACCAATGATTTTTAAATAATGACTTATTTTGATAATTTTATATAATAAATGGTTTTGACTAAATTGTTTTGACTAATTATTTTAATTTTTAAGGCCAAGATGATCCTCATGACAATGATAGCAAGAATAGGCGATGGGCTTCCACTGGCAGCTTCTCAACAGGAAGACCAATTTGGACCTAATCTTTTAGAATATCAAAGCCAAGCAAAACAATTATTTAAAAAAATGAATTCATCAACTCCAGCAAAAGGAAGCTTGGAAACAAATTCTTATTTATTTCATTATTATGTAGAAAGAGGTGTGTGTTATTTGGCGCTTTGTGAAGGAAATTTTTCGAAAAGACTTGCTTTTCAGTATCTGGAAGATTTACAAACGGAATTTTCATCTTTATATGGACAAAAAGTTATTGCTACATTTTTTATTTGTTTATTTCAACTGACGACGTACATAACTTTTGAAAATCGTTATTAATTTTAAAGGTTCAATCAGTTGTCAGACCCTACAGCTTCATTGAATTTGACACATTCATCCAGAAAGCTAAAAAGTCTTATGTTGATTCACGCACTAGACGAAATTTAGGTCAGATAAACTCAGAACTACAAGATGTTCAAAGAATAATGGTGCAAAATATAGATGATGTTCTGCAACGGGGTGAAGCCTTATCGGCATTAGATGATAAAGCAAGCAATTTAGCGTCTCTTTCGCAAAAATATAAGAAAGATGCTCATTTTTTAAACATTAAATCTTCTTACGTGAAAGTCTGCGCTTCAGTTATAATTATCATTATATTTATTGTTTTTATTAGATTTTGGTTCTTTTAAGTTTAGTGGTTATTTTTGGATTTTTATTAAGGTGTGATTTACTTTAGTCACAAAATTTTCAATTGTTGACTTAGTTTTGTTGATGGTAATAAAAATATAAAAGTATGTCTTCTCTGTAAAACGAACATACATACACTATTTCATCGATACCCATTTTTGTTCAGATATATTCAGTCATACTTCTGATTAGCGAGGTTAATGGCGAGGTTGTAGTTTTGATTTATGTAGACACGATCTGAATTGTCGATCGTGCATATTTTTTGGATTAGTTAATAATTTAGAATTTTTATTACTGTTGGCATTCGAATAAATGTTTAAACAAGTTTGCGTTTGAAGTAATAGTGTTTAGGGGTCATCCATAAAAGACGTCCACACTAGGGGGGGAGGGGGGGTTCAGCTAAAAGTGGACAAGGAGGGGGGGGGGTAAATGCCAAAGTGGATGTCCACCAGTATAGATAGTTTTAAGCTATAAATATGGTGTTTCTTATTACATAGACCTTACAATGTTATGAAAATGATAATTTTTCCATATTTAATTTAAATCACAAAACAAATGACATATTAACTGTCTAAACGACAGTGGACAGTCTTGATGTTAGTCTTATAATTTAAAAAAATATATAATCTATTTTTATGTTTTCTTCAACTCACCGTTATATTACTACCTACATAAACCATTCTCTCTAACTTCCAAAAGAAATGTCATCTAGAATGCCAGTCAATGAAACACTTTTATATAGCGCTTTTTCATAAATTCAAACTTTTTTTTATGGAATTCTTCTTCATTATCTATAAGTACTAAAAGTCCCTGATGGTTTAGTTTTTCTATCGTGAACTTAATGGATTTTAGTAATTTAACAAGAATATGGTCAATAATTCAAAATATTTAAAAACTGAATTTTACTTTTTATTACTTTATATATTACCAATGATTTTAATAGATTTTAGTTGTCAGAATATTATGTTTTAAAATAGATTTTTTAATTTTAAAAAATGTTCAAACATTACTTTGTCAGTTTTTGATGAATAAAAAACACTAATTGTGGACGTCCACAACGGAGGGGAGGGGAGTTCATCAAAATGTGGACAAGGGGGGGTAAAAGTTTGCCAAAAAATTGTGGACGTCTTTTGTGGATGAACCCTTATCTGTCAGAAATCTTGAACCTACGGAATATCCATAACTTGACGATAGTGCAAGCTATATCACTGGTGTTGTCGGTAATGGGAATCTTTGAAGTTACAACACTGGTGTCAGTAATGAAGATCGTCAAATTTACAATATATTTAAAATAGTATTATGATACGCTGTTTCTATCACAGTAGATTCCGTTTTACCACCGGGTAGCGGTTCTTATAAGTTTTTCATAAAAAGAAACAGGCTTCAAAATTTTAAATAGTAATAAGTTAAAATAGTAATAAAAGCCGATTGGAAATATTTCAAATGAATTGAAAATGATAGAACAGTTAATAAAATCGTTATTTAAACATGACATCAGGTTTGCTTATTATTTAGGCGTTTGTTTTGTCTAGACGATATAATGTTTGTTTCATGGCATATTGTCAATTCTACAAATCCTATTTTGTTGCCCCGCAGATGTCTGGCGTCACGGGTTGAACATGTGAGACATCGGGCAAATGTTTTCTACCACCAAATCAACAAATAGGTTGCAATCAGTTGAAGCGTTGATATTACTAACTTGGTTTTTCCTCCGGCAGCTCATGCTACCAAGTCGGTGCTATAGCATGCCTTTGGATTACATCGAAAAAGTCGAGTGAGGAATCATGATGTATAGGCAAATCATGATCTTTTAATAAATGCCCAGGGAGAAGAGAAAACTTGAGCTGCGATTTTGCGGCTGAAATAACAGCAGTTACGAGTTATATTTTCAGTTTCATTGACGTAAGGTACGGGTGGCAGCTGACGGTTAGAAAGGTCTTAGTGCTTTACTGATCTGATGAACTACCGCTCGCTTAATCTGGGCAGCTCTCAAATAATAAGCTGTTGACCCGTCACAGCCTGTCTGCTTTAGTGGGTGCTCAGAGCTTAAATTAGATCAACAAGCAAGCTGAACTCTTGCACTAAAAAAAAAAACAAAATATATAAAAAAAATGGATTTTGTATGCGATGATCTTCGATTGGTTGATGACTCAAGAAATACAGCAGTAATAAATCATGAGCTGAAAAGGTTGAATTGCTGGTTTACAGGAAACCGAATTGGCGGATGATGTGCTTAATGAAACAAATTGCACTTTCTTCTAGAAGGGCAAACTTCAAAATAAAAGCCGAATACACGGGGTTGGTTTTGCGGTCAAAAATAGCCTACTTCCTACGATAACTCTCCAGATGGAGGCACGGAACATATTCTAAGCCAGCACCGGATTAAGCAATAAGCACACTAAGCACGTGCTTAGGGCACCGTATGAAAAGGGGCACCGCGACGAGCCACCAAAATTTTTTGCAATTACTAAATTGTTGCACGAACTAGCGTGATGTTCATTTAAAATAAATGAGTCATATTAATTAACTAACAATGTCCACGGACTACAGTCTATGTTGTGTAGACATAGAGTTACTTATTTAATTTAACTTATGATTAAGGGTTAAAGCTCTAGCCGCTATCTTCTAATAATTACGTGATGTGTTAATAAATGTGTTGTGTAGATTATAGTATGTGTATGTGTATATAATATATATATAATACTTGGATTTGGTTGGTTGTTCGGGCACCATAATTGTTAAGTGCTTAGGGTCCCTGAATATGTTAATCTAGCCCTGTTCTAAGCATAAGCAAATCGAGTATACCCTAAATCTAAGTAAGCAATGTAAGTAATGATAGTTATTTTGGTTTCTGTACAATATAAACGGCATGAATTTAAAAGATGACCAATTATTAAAACACTGTAGTCTGTAAGGACTTACAATTAGCGCTAACTTCTGACGTTGAATAAGATATCGATGGAAGGAAAAAGTGGGACGAACTAAAAACTAATTAGATCAAAAAGCAATCCAAAAAATTGTTTGCAATATATTTATTCATCGAAATATTTTCGTTGAAAAATATAATAAAGTTGAACTTTTTTGCCAATTATAATTTGAGATATATTTTAGGCATTGGCGATGTTGATGTTGGTTTTAATTGTTTTCATAAAATTATTAATGATGCCTTTAATTATTTTTGTCCTGCTGTTGTTGCTCCCAAAATTCTTTCTAAGTCAAACAACCTTGGATGACTTACGATTTATTACGTTTTTCTAAAGAAAGAATAAGGTGTATAAAAATTAATTAAAAACAGTACCCTGGAAAACAAAAATATTTATTTAAATTACAAAAGAACATTTTCTAAATTAGTATTTTTTGCAAAAATATATATTATCACAAAGAATTTTATTTTAATAAATCAAATACAAAGAAGGCAATTAATTAGATAAACTTTAAATCCTAATAATATAAGTCTAGATTAGTCATTAAAGATGACAAAACTAACAATTTGATTACCAATGTGAATGTGGTTGTAACAAATTCAATTATTTTGCTGAACTATTCAACTAAAAATTCATTTTTAAAATATTTAGGTAATCCCCAGACTAATTCCTTTTTTTGACAGAATGTAATGAAATTGAAACTCACAATATAGTCAAAAATTTCAAAAATACAAAAAGCTCAGGTAAAGATAAAATTTATAATTTTATTCTGAAAATTGATACTTTTCAAAAAAGGTTTTGACCGTCTAAATCATGAAATTTTAATTCATAAGTTGAGTCAAAACGGGATCAGGGGATTGCTCTGGTTCAAAACCTATTTGTCATAGAGAAGTCATTATGCGTGCATTGAAGAGTCAACACCAGGCCTGTTGCCAAAACACACAGGCGTTCCTTAATGGATTAATCTTGGGGCCGCTTCCTTTCAATTGGTTAGATTTTCAACACTTGTCAAGTTTTTTTCTATATGCAGACGATACGACAATATTATTTGAAAGCGTTAATCTTTGGATGGTGTCTTGCCAAAAAATGAACCATTAATTTTAAAAAATTATTTGATATCAGGTCAAAATATCAACTAATTTAATGCAATTTAAAATATCAGTTAACGGCAATGTCTTTGAAAGAACGGAAAAAATAAAATTTTAAGGTGTGTTCTACAAATCTGATCTGTCATGGATAAATCATATAAGTAAAATTTCTCAGAAAATTTCCAAAACGATTGGTATCTTTAATAAGTTAAAGTTCATTTATCCATTGCATATTATTATCATGTTGTACTAGTCATTGATTTACCCATATTGCTTAGCTTACCTATTTGGGGGATTAGCCCTTTTTGTCACTTGTCAATTAATATTAAAATATCAAAGGTATTTTCTAAGAGTTTCATTTCATTTGAAAAAGTTTGAGCATTTATTCAAGATAAGTGAAATTTTCTCTAATAAACAGTTTATATAAGTTTTACTTATTGCATTTTTTCTATAAAAAAGAATGGATCTTTTGTATAAAAAGAATATGTCGCCCTATGCTACGCAAGTTAGTTAGCTACAGGTCAACAAAGAGTCAGCAATTTAGGCACACAAATGTTTTCTACCTACCGGCGATGAGGACAAAAATATTCAGCAATAGTAATATTTTAATATTTGTACTCAAAGCATGGAACAGGCTTGCAACAGATGTTCATTCAACAATGCCAAACTTACTCGAAGTTCAAATCAGACATCTATAAACATTAAAAAAACTTATGCAATTTGATCGGTTTGTTTTTTTTCCCATCTGATTACGTTTAATTAATTTTTCAAATTATGATAGACACATAATATTTCTATTGATCAGAAAACAGTTAATTATTCATTACGAAAACAATTTATTTATGTTTTTGATATATTTTTCCATTAGTCAAGTGACCGTACAAGCCTTTTAGGCTTCAGATTTTACTTTAAATACTTTGAAATTTGTCATTAACATTTCGGATTTTTCTAATTTTTCAAGTCTAAAAATAATAAAATTGTATATGAGGT